TGCCTCCCCCACTCCCCCCCCCCCCCCATCCCTAATCATTGCACGTTCAGCCCGGGCGATGCATGGAGCCAGTATTTATTGCTCTTTCTATTCCTTTTTGATTTAAGGTTTAAAAAGTTAAAGAGTTCGCCGCTCAGTGCTGGTAAATAAGAATTTCAATACGGTAAAAACAGACGCGTGTTTTATCATTGATGTTAATTACCGGAGACGTTACCTCCACGTATTACCGGAGACGTTACCTCCACGTATTACCGGCATGTGTATACGTCTTGTCTGAGATGGACATAGAAAGTATTCGATCCCAGCTCCGATTACCCGATTACAAAGCTGTAAGTCGTTTCTAGGTCAGTGGGCGTGAGGTCGCCACGACCTAGTTCATTTACCTGTCAGCGCCGATTTCTTACGACCGCTTATTAACTCTACCACCACTCCCACCCCCCACCCTTTTCCCCCAACCTCCACACCTCTTGATATCATACACTATGTACATAACACATACCCTATACATACATAATTAATGAGCCGTGTGATTTAACAGCGATAGAGTATATCGATAATATTTATTGATTGCGCGTGGGGCGGGGTGGGCGGTAGCCCGTTATAATTCGATTCGTGTAGCTCTCTATATTTTTTTTTTCATAACGTCTGCCCCCGACGTGTTCCAATCAAGCCCGCCCCCCCCCCCCTTTTTTTGAGATTTTGGTACACCCGTTAATGAATCTAAAAGAATGTATGCATATATAAGTTAGTTCTGCCGAGGTAGTCGGTGCATTTAAGGACCTCGGCACAGGACAGTTCAGCTGTTGGAAGAAATACTCCCATAATTTTACAGGTAATTGTCAACAATTGTCTATTAACTTTTATATTCGTCATGTGATATTGCATATTTTTTAAATGTATTTGAATTTTATTTCTCTACTTTTACGTTAAAAAGCATTCTTAAAAAAAATAATAATTAATAACATCTGTTGAAGTGACACATTTTTTGTGTGACTTGTTCTATTTGTATTGCCTATAATAATTTAAGCAGATTAAAGCATTTTATAAAATTATTACATTTCAAAGTATCGCAAAAAAAAAAGCCAAAATAAATAGTGTTGTCTATAATTCCAACTTGTGTGTGGTGGGCACCCGTTAACTTTTCATCAGTAGTCATTCGGTTGCTACCGACATTTGCCACGTCCCCCTGCGGTTTGTAGTCCTTCAGTTGCTACCGACATTTGCCACGTTCCCCTGCTGTTTTTAGTCATTTAGTTGCTACCGACATTAGCCAAGTCCCCCTGTTGTTTTTAGTCATTCGGTTGCTACCGACTTTTGCCACGTTCCCCTGCTGTTTTTAGTCATTTAGTTGCTACCGACATTAGCCAAGTCCCCCTGTTGTTTTTAGTCATTCGGTTGCTACCGACATTTGCCACGTTCCCCTTTTGTTTTTAGTCATTCAGTTACTACCGTCATTTTCCACGTTCCCCTGCTGTTTTTAGACATTCAGTTGCTACCGACATTTGCCACGTTCCCCTTTTGTTTTTAGTCCTTCAGTTGCTACCGACATTTGCCACGTTCCCCGGCTGTTTCTAGTCCTTCAGTTGCTACCGACATTTGCCACGTTTCCCTGTTGTTTTTAGTCATTCAGTTGCTACCGACATTTGCCACGTTCCCCTGCTGTTTCTAGTCCTTCAGTTGCTACCGACATTTGCCACGTTCCCCTGCTGTTTTTAGTCATTCAGTTGCTACCGACGTTAGCCAAATCCCCCTGTTGTTTTTAGTCATTCAGTTGCTACCGTCATTTTCTACGTTCCCCTGCTGTTTCTAGTCATTCAGTTGCTACCGACATTTGCCACATTCCACTGTTGTTTTGAAACTCACAGCATCTGTTTTGTTGTTTTTTTTAAAACATATTTAATTTGACAAGCAGCGTTAAAAGGAGGGAGGGGGAGGGGGAGACAAGTAGATGTTGGTATGATGATATAACAGTTACGAACGCCTCTGTTAAGTTTATTCATCAGATCCGATCGGTCCTCTAGTTTCCAGTGACATGTCTTTGTACGGGTGAATTCAATAGAGCGTGTTCAAATATTTGCAAGCGAGACTGCTCTCATCGGGACGACCACCGTCGACGGTTGGGGAAAGCTGTACCCAGTCGTTGCTTATTTTTGTTTCTTCCAGCGGTAGCCCTCTGTTTTAGTGTGGGGAGCAGGAAAACGGGGGTGTGTGGGCGTATCCAGTTCACGGTTCTGTTGCATTTAGCGTGTACACTATGTTTCCTCCAGGCCAGCTACCACTGACCACCATCGTCAAACATGGACTCAGGAAGCGCCAGACGTCCAGCAGGTCAACAGATCACCTCGCCGCCTGGGCTGCCCGGCCGTTCCTACACGCAGTACAACGGGTTCGCGATGCCCGTGACCTACATGGACGGCACCTGTCTGACCGCCACCAACTACGGTAACAAGTAAGCTTTCAGTGGGATTCACGAGGCCTGGGGGGTGGAAGGGGGGGGGGGGTTATCAATTAGTGCAGAGTGTAACTTTCTTGACTAATTAAAATACTTTAAACAGAATTAGGCCCACACATGCATAATTTTATTGTTGATATTTTTATAACTGTGTTATTATGATAACTTTAAAAGTAGATGAGACTGAGTTAGAGAAGACATTGAAAACATTTGTTATATTATAATTTATTAACTTACGACTTCATTATCTTTTTATTTAAATGACATATTGTTTTATTATTAAATAACAGACTAACTAACTTATCTATTTAAAAGGCTTGTGTGTTGTTGTTTTTATCGTGTGTGCGTTGTTGTTTTCTTGTTGTAGTTTGCTTATTTAATTATTTTTATTTTAGGGGGGGGGGGTGGGGTGGTCTTTCTCCAAGACAGTTATAGGGTTTGTTAGGTGTGGTTGCGACTGAGTATGAAACCATTTAGATATGTTCAATTTCAATAGCTCCAAATTTTAAAACAAGATTGAATTTAAGAAAATACAACACATTTCAAGAGCTCAGACTCATCAGTTCGATTAGAATTGTTACAAAGTGTTATCTTGCCTATGAAACCGTGTTAGTTAACACAGTCTATTCCTTGGGGCATCTGTTAAAAGTGTTACATAGCCAATCCCTAGGGCGTCCTTTAACGTGTTACACAGTCTATTCCTTCAAGCATCCGTAAATTTTAGCACAGTCTATTCCTTCGGGCATCTGTTAGCTTTTCACACAGTCTATTTCTTCGGGCGTCTATTTATGCAGTAGATTATCATTATTTGTTTATGTATTTATTGTACCGATGTTATACTTAAGAAGGAGTTCTTGTCAGCTCCTAAATCTAGTTCAGTTGTGAAGGTGCAAGTAAGGGCGGCAGAAACCCAAGAGTAATTTTCCTGGGTCCTTGTGTCTTTTTTCTGACAACAAGTGGTGAATGAAGAACTAACACTGATTCCCTCTTTCGGTATTCAGCTATCAGCCGTCTAAAATGTACAGGGCACCTTTTCCACAAGCTGAGAACCCCATTAGGCCTGCGCCGCACACCAGTAGACGTTCGAGCAGTATCGAGTACGTTCACAGTAACAGCGTGTTCACTGTAAGTACCGTTGCCTCTCAACTAGTGCAGTAACATCGAGTTTACTGTAAGTATCTTTGTCTCATCTACTGCAGTATCAGCGGGTTAACTGTAAGTACCTTTGTCTCAACTAGTGCAGTAACGTCGTTTTTAGTGTACGTACCGTTGTCTCTCAACTGGTGCGGTGTTTACTGTAAGTACCTTTGTCTCAACTAGTGCAGTATCAGCGTGTTTACTGTAAGTGCAAGTACCGTTGGCTCTCAACTAGTGATCCCTAACAAGGAGTACAGGGCATCATATCATGTGGGTCTCGTCCCTAACCTTTAACTATTTCCAAATCATAAAACAAGGGACCATAATGAGGGATAATAATGAGGGACGGTTCTATAATTATTTCATTTCCATTTTAATTACAAAAATTTTTTTTTAAAATTCTTATCATTTTTAAATTGATTCATAATTTTAAAAAAAAACAACATAGATCTATTATTATAATAGAATATATTATGTAAACTGGGGGAGAGTTCATGGCATATCTAAAAAAAAATAAAACAATAAATAAACCTGATTTTAAGAAATGGGACTTGTCAGATTGTAGATTTACGTTGTTTCATGTTTCATTATGTCCACCAACGTGCTCAATAATCACATTAGCACTTAACCACGACACCGTGTCTTACATTGTGTTTGTTTGCCAGTCAACCATGCCCAAGATAACGGGCAACTACGTCATTCACCCGGACTGGATCTCGGAGCGATCAACCGTGAGAAGGTCAAAGTCACTCCTGAAACTCTAAAATCTTGAACGGGCCAAAGCTGGATGTGGACAATGCGGAGTGGAGCCTTCTTGTTGGAGGTCACCGTCTGTAAACTCTGTGTCTAATGGCCATTGATGGTCAATTTTAAAAGATGTATTTTCTCCGCATAAAGGCGCCTCTATTTGTTAATAGCCATGTGCACAAATAACTAACTTAAAATGACTTGAATAAAGAAACAAAAGAATATACAAAAAAGAAGGGGACAAAATTGCTATTTTGTTTTAAAGCTGTTAAAAGCTGTTTTATGATTTATTCAACCAATATGCAATTATTATTATTATTTTATTTCGCGAAAAATTCAGAGAAAAGTGGAGGGGGGGGGGGTAAAAATCAAATAAAAATATTTTGTTTCTTTCTTTTTTTTCTGCATTTTTCTTCAAAAAAGAAATTATTGAATGTATCCTTTTTTTAAAATGTTAGTTACTAATTTTGTAAAAGTCAGCTGAGTAAGAGGCAGGACAAGAATAAAATTGTTTAATGTAATTTATTGGATGTCTGCTATTTGAAATTATTATTTTTTAAAATTTTGTATTGATGTAAATCTAGTCTAGATATAATAGCATACCATTTATTAATATAAAAAATACATTTAGTTTTTGTGTTGATTTGTGCTGTACATTATTGTTTTATACTCCATGAACTGTTAAATTATATTCAGTTTTCTATGTAGACATTAATTAAAGAATAGTGTGCCACTTGGTGCTGTCAGATTGTTTATGTAATAAAGACAAAAAAATGCCATCATCAGAATTATACCTGGTATATGTATACCGTTACAGTATTAATTGTAAATAGAAAGATTTCAGCATTCAAGTGTGGTGTGTCCAAGATGTAATATAGTGGATGATATGTTATAATCAATCCAGCTAAAAAAAGATTTTAAATAAATAAATTTTTTATACCCTTATAATATTGCATTTTGCATGCAGACTGAGATTTAGCTTTGGTAATTTTAAAACTTAAATTCTCTTCTTAATTTTAAAAAAAAAATTGTAATTCTAACGATTTTTTTTTCATTTTAATCATTCTTTTGAACTTATTATTTAATATTGTGACAGCTTCCCTTTTTCATAAAAAAATAATTTTCACACAAACAATGTGTTTAAATTGTAATAATATAATATTAAGTCCTCTGAGAATGCGGTTAATTTTTACATTTGGGGTATTTCGCATAATATTAATGAAACACACTGATGAATTGTAATAGTTGGGAGATGGAATGATTCCAAAAATGTATTCTGAAACATGTATTTTATGTATCGAAAATTTCCCTTGGCTCAGGAGAGTAATTTAAATAGAGGAAACGAAAAACCAAAGAAATAATTACAATCCATCAAGAGCTCATAATAACTGGAAAAAAAGTTATGGATGGAAAATAGTTTGATGGAAATTTGTTTGATTAAGAATTTAATCGAAATGAAATTTGTTTCATTAGAAATGTTTTTGAACGGTTATGTGTTTCACTGATATTGTTTAATGAAAATTAGTTTGAACGGACAATGATTTGAACGTAAATTTGTTCAATTAGAAATGCGTTCGAATGGATAACTGTTTGACCGGTATTGTTTGATGGAAATTAGTTTGAACCAAACATCCTTCGAAAAGAAATTTTTTCAAAAAGAAATAACAAGGGGGAAAACACAAAAAAAATAAATCAAATTTAATTTAAAAATTTACATTTTCCACTTTTTTCATTCTAAATTTACCTAAAAAAACAAACATTTAAAAATTAATAAATCTCCGCTTAACAAATTTAATTTTGAAAAAAAATTCTTTCGAAACAATTTCCATTAAAACAAACTTCCGTCAAACATAATATCTTTTAGAACAAATTAACTTTTGAACAAACTTCGGTGGAACAATATTCTTTCATACAAATATCCAGATAGGAGAGCTTATCCTTTAAGCCTTATTTTATAAATGTATTATAATATAGGCCTAAACATGTAAAATAAATATTCAATGCTTTTAAAAGTTTGGTTTTTTCCTTCTTTAATGTGTCTGTGTGTTTATTTGAGTTTATTTATGTATGATTTTTTAGTAAATTAATTAAGCTTACATTACAAAACACTGTAGGCATGTATTTAACATACCTACTTTCTAAATTGAAATAAGTATTTTGATTACTTACAACAACAATGTAATTTCAGCTCTTGAAATATAAAAATGTATCTATTATTTTTATGTTAATTCTGTATTCTATTTCTATGTACTACATCCATCCATAACTTTTAAGAAGGCTAACTAACGTCGCTTTCCCTTTCATTAGTATTAGCTGATTGATGTTAATAAACAATGAAAATTTCTTTATTAATTAATGTTTGTTGTGTTTTTTTACATTAAAGCCAGAGGATTATCTAGTCCTAGTACTTTTGTGGCATGTATTAATTTTATTAACATTTTTATTTTTAAAAAAATTATTAACATAGCTTCGATTACAACTTGCATTGTCTGACTCTGACTTAAGTAACAGTAATACTAGTGGTATTGAAGTTGTAGTAGAAGTAGTTTCACCAAACCAGTGTTGTTATAATATTTCCATTGTCTAATAAAACAACAAATAGTTTTCGATTGGTGATAATTTGTCACTTAGTATATTGACAGTGTAATTTATTTTTTATTTTACTACACCAGTTAATGAAATATATTTATTTGGGAAAGTTTTGAAAAATGGGCCATCATTTCGAACTGATACAATCCTGAGACTAGGTTGAGGATGAAGCACAATATCAATATGGCAGACATCAAAGCCGTGTTCCGGCTTATTTGATGCTGTACAAATTAAAAATATTTTGCCTTCGAAAATCCCCTTTAAATGCCTTAATAAAAGAAATATATTTTGATAGCTAATCTCAACATGAATTTTAATATTTATATATCTAAAAATAAGCACGATAACCGTTTTACATGTAAATAATATCTGCAAATATAATTGACTACGACTTGGCCGACCCGTAGCCGTAGTATTCTACGTTGCGACCACATTTCTAACTGTGTCTATCAGCGATAAAATCTATATATTTAACTAAATAATTACATTTTGATCATGAATTAATTAAAATATTTAAGTTAAGTGACTTTCGCGTTGTATTCAAACAGAATAATTATCATAACATACATTTTAATTAACAAGATTAGTGTTTTAAATTGTAAATCGGTGCACCAGTGGAAGTCTAAATGTGCGATGTACATGCCAAAAATAATTTTTTTACAATGACTAAAACACCCAAAAAGACAAAAAAACTTACATTAAAATTTTAAAATATATATTAGCTACATTATTTAAAAATAATATAGTCAACAGAATGAACATAAATCAATTAATTTTAATTTCAAAGCTGATGACAAGGTCTGTAAAGCACCAATATTAGCCATAAAATTACTTTTTAACAATTTATTTTCCAATAATACCTAATGTTTTATATATTAAATTAAAATAAATGAAGTTTTCTTTATTTTGATGTTAATGCGATCAGTGCTTACACTCTAATTTTAAAGATATTAAATTTTAAAGCCTGACATATCAGACAAATTCGCCATTTTCTAAAGAAAATAACAACCGCCGAGCGAGGCGAATTGGCCTGTGACGTAGTTGCTCTCCGATATGTTCGCGCGGCGCTATATAAACCAGCTCGTTTCGTTAGGTGTCATTCCATCGAGTTCACTCGCTCCTACCACTTCGTTCTTAATCTCTACTCGCTGTTTCGCACAACTAGAAACCATGTCTGACGTCGACGTTGCCGCTCCCGCTACAGCTGCTGCTCCAGCCAAAGCACCCAAGAAAAAGGCCGCCGCTGCAAAACCAAAGGCCCCTGCTGCTCATCCACAGTACAAAGTCATGGTCGCTGCAGCTATTTCAGCTCTTAAGGAACGTGGTGGCTCCTCAAGACAGGCCATTCTCAAATACATCACCGCCAACTACAAAGTCGGAGATAATCCAACCGCCATCAACGCCCGCCTTAAGTCCGCACTTAAAGCTGGAGTTAAAGCCGGTGGTCTCAAACAGTCCAAAGGCACCGGTGCTGCTGGTTCTTTCCGCCTTGGCGAGAAAGCAGAGAAGAAACCAAAGGTCAAGAAAGTAGCTGAGAAGAAAGCTAAATCACCAAAGAAGGCTGTTAAACCTAAAAAGCCAGCCGCTGCTAAAAAGGAGAAATCTCCAAAGAAAGCCAAGAAGCCCGCTGCCCCCAAGAAGGCCAAAACTCCAAAGAAAGCCGCCGCTGCCAAGCCTAAGAAGCCAAAGTCACCCAAGAAGCCAGCAGCTGCTAAGCCCAAAGTGGCTAAAAAGCCCGCCGCAGCCAAGAAACCCAAGACCCCCAAGAAGGCCGCCGCTGCCAAGAAAGCATAACCTGCTTTTTTTTCTGCTTATTTTTACCTCTTCAATACCGGTCCTATTTAGGACCACCCCAGTGTTCCAGGGGATTGTTCTCAAGACTTGTAACCAAACTTTACCTTGTCTTCATCTGGTATTCTAAATTTCTTTATTTGCCTATTACTCGCATTCTCTATGCATTGTTACCGGTACTTGACAATTCTGCTACTACTGATTTTTTAAAAAATAAATACTGCTGAGTTGTGCTGGCAATTACTATTACCGAGTAACCCCATACTAGTCTGCAGATTTCGTTCGTGTATTTTGTAACGGTACTTTTATCTACATCTATTTTAGGCCATTAAAAAAAAATTTGTTGGCTCTTACTACCCATTCTTTGTACTAACTGTTCATATTCTTGATCACTGGTCGCTTTCTTTCCTTATTTCTGTAGGTATTTATTTCATTTCCGCACTATTCGTGAAGACTTTGTCACTTCTTTTGTTCAAAAGCTACCGCCCCCTGGTTCAGTAAATTATATTGTGTACCGGTTATTTGATTTGTGTACGTTTTAGACATTGCATATTTAGTTTCGGTGCCGGATATCTCATTTTAAGATTAGCAGGGGCGATAAACGTGGTATTTCTTACAGAAACTGTTATTTACCGAGTTGCCTGCACTGGCACATAAATACAGCCGAAATTCGAAAATTAATTTTGTTTACCGGTACATACTGATGACGTTTTCGTTGTAATTAGATAGCCCAACTTAGTGCAGGGTAAGAGTACAGGGTGCCCCATGTTTGTTTATGTTCACGTTATTTCATTTCACTGCTGCACTATAATTTGACTTTTCCCCACACGTACTGCCCATCCCAACATTGTGGCAAGATCTCTCGATTTATCACGGTGAGTTAAGCACCGGTGCAGTATTAATTATAATTCGTTGTTTTTAATGTGACGATTCCAAGACTAACCGGTACGTTGTACTGATTAAATTTTGAACATTTTTTGAAGCCTTATTTTAAGCGAATATTAAGTTTTGGAGATAGCGTACCGGGTACTCCAAACCCGTGTATCAAACTAAACCAACATGTTTCAGTGCTTAATGTGAAAGATCTAAGAATGTGGACGTTAAATATATGACCATTATTTAAATAGTTGACAAACATTTTAAGCTGTTATTTTAAATAAAAAGTCTGCAGTGACGTATCATGGGGGAAGGGGTGTAGGAAATATTGTGATTCTTAAATGTACGTTGCCGGTACTTGAGTTCATGTTTTGTCAATTTGAGTAGATGGAAAGTTCAAGCCGCTAATGTTTGGCAGACTCTACCTAATTATTTATTGTCGTAAAGATGGCATTTTGTAAAATTTTCGAATTTTACCCAGGGAGGCAAAAAAATCACAAATTACCTTATTTTTTTTTAAATTCACAAAAAATTATCTTATTTGCTCATAAACGTGACAAATTTTAAATGAGTTTTAGTGTTCTGATTTTCTTTTCTCTTATTATAGGATAAAGAGAAAGAAGAAAAAAATGGAGGAAGTGGTGGGGGTTCTTAGGTTAAAGGCGAAACACTTGGCCCGGCCTCGCTTTCGAAAAGACTTCAAATCTACACCTGAAATTACTCTACATGCTTGTACCGATACTGTTGTTAGTTTTTTTGTTTCCTCCAAATATGATTTTATATAAATAAATACTAAAGCGTTTCGTAATTCAGTGATGTGTACGTCTGACATGTCTTATTCTTCCTGACCCCTTCGTCCTAAGCTTAAATTTTGATGTTATGTTAACATTATTTGCGATCAAATGTTAAGGTCTCATATAATAATTAAGGGGGAAATTTGTTAAGGCCACTTGACAAAAATTGGGAAATTGTAATTACCGGTACGGTACTATAACTTATAGTAATAGTAATTTAAGATTGGTGAATTTCTTATTTATAGTATACATTTTCTTGTTCCTGTAATTTAAAAAAAAAAAAATCAATTTATAAATAATTATGACGGGGTTGTCAGGGGGGAAGGGCCAATTCATTCTCTCCCCCCCCCAACCCTCTTTACATGCATGGATGTTCTCTTCCCGGTCTTGGTTGCACCAGAAATCAAAGGCATGTTGGCTCGGTAGCTTATGTTAGTGTTAGTGGTCTCGGTAGCTTGTGTTAGTGTTAGTGGTCTCGGTAGCTTGTGTTAGTGTATACCGGGACAGAAAATGGCACTGAACAGGCATCTCAATATTCACAGGTCACATGAGTGGCTGTTACTGATAGCATAGACTAGACGTGTAGTATTGGCAGTTCAGGTCAAGACGCTGTAATTCACATTCAGTGTTTCCCAACGTTCGGCCTCTGTCCAACATGGGGGAGGGGGGTGTAAAAATTATTACTAATAATTTTTAATAATAATAATTAGGGGGGTGGGGTGGATATTGTGTCTCTAAAAGAAAACTTAATTTTAAAATATTACGCTATTGATATTGGCAACATATTTAACGCCATGATTTAAATTGCAAATCGAACTTTAAGTTTAAGACACCAGTGACCAGTTTAAAAAAAAAGAAAACTTTATATATCGCGATTTCTTGTAGTCGTTTGTTTCAGCAGGGGGGGGGGATTCTTCGTAACCCCCAGTACTGATCACTTCCCATGAACTGGAAATCTGTGCTCTAATAACTTGATTATCACAAGACTTCATGTGTCGAACTACCTTCAAAATCTCTAAATTAATTAAATAATAATTTATATTACGTAAATTTAATGGGGGTTTTTTTTCTTCAGAAATCAACATAGTAAGACATTTTTTTTTAAAATATACTTATATTACTTATATTATCTTGGTTGATTGGTTTGGGTTATTTTTGTATTTATTTTTTTTGAAAATTCGAAACTAACCCCTTGTCACAAGTTGTTAGAAACATTTGCTTGTAATTATTTATTGATGGATTAAAAACTAGAATTAGTGACCTGCAAAGAATGCAAAACGTACATTTTGTT